TTAGTCAAAAACATTACAAAGAAACATGATAAGCATCTTACACGTTATTTATGGACAATCGTACATAGCAAACAGAATTTGTACATTATTATATCACGATATTTAACCTTGAGGAGACCTTGGACGCCTATAAAAATGATCTCTTGAAAGTTTGTTAGTTAAAATATGTAGTAAAAGTTACTCTCCTGCACAAAACGGGTCTGTAATCATGGACATATTTGTTAAATATGCAAAAAAGTAAAATTTGCATTTTCCATGACAAAATCTTGACTAACAGTTGTGTGTTTCCCTAGACAAAGATATAAACACCCTATACTCACACTCGTTTACATGTTACGAGGCAGGCAGAACTTACTATATAAATGTCAGTTTTAAACCGGATAACAAAGATATGTTCTTCTTGTTTGTCTCTTTTTAAAATAAGCAATCGATTGCAAGATAAAATAATTACCAAGCGCACAATTGTTCTACCTGCAACTAACTGATCTACTTGCAACCAGTTAACGAGTGTTTTCTTTATAATTTAAGTCAATATTTACAAATAAAATTTTGAAACGGATTAAAAAAACCATTGCAAATACTTTACTAAGATGTGTTTACGTCGCACAAGACATGTATTGATCATCTAGTTCCATATTAATTTACTAACGTGTAATGAACTTCTCTTTCGATGACATTTATACTTAAAAAACACCCAATCCTTAATGTGTGGGATAGTAGCTTTATGCCTACTAATTAAACATGCTCATGATGTGTGGACTTTATTATTAATAATCATAATCATAATAATAATTAAATACCCAGTGGCTAAGTACATTTTGTTCAAATGTAACGTCTTGGCGAAGTATCATTTTAAAAAAGACAAAAAAAATTGATGTCTGCTTTTTAAGATTGTGTCCAAAACATCCCGTAAAAGTTATTGAAATTCAGTCAAGACTCACCCTTTAGGAAAGCAATATAGGTTAACATTAAAATTATATCTTAATCGGATATCTTTAGCTCCTTCAAAAATTTAATTCTTTAGGGAGACTTCCATTAAATAAAAATCGGAATCTTTTGTAATGCATGAAGTCTGAACAATGATTTTAGTGTATTGTTCAGTAAACTGTTACCGCGTAAAATTTGGTTAGTTTAATAGGGAACATCTCAGCTATTAATCAATAACTCCGGAGCAACTGACGAAAGAACCTGCAAAAATACGACTCGAAGAAATCATTCGAAAAGACTCCCTTTATTACTTTACTGTTGCCTTAAATAATCTGATCTTATTTTTAAATTTACAGATTAAATATTGTTTATCAGACAATTAAATTCTTTCCCATTTTAAGATAAAAACGTTTCTTATAACACATGAAACATTATGTTGGAGAAATGTCTCAAACCATGAGTTAAAAAACTTGCTCAAAAAATTTAATGCTCTAAACTCGGAATATTCAACAAATTATATCCAATCAAGAAAGTGATAATGTAAGTAATTATAATAATTCACATGAATATTAACTAATAATTGCTAAATTGGGACTTTACTTCAATGATCATTGTACTGTAAAATAATATACTCGTCTGTTTTGACGTGTAAAGGAACATTAGCATCTATTTAACCGACCACAACTGAATAAAAGTGCAAAATGCTTTTATAATTATTTAAAGAGTCAGAGATAAAAGATAAATATGTACTCTAGATATACATTAGAGTAGCCATTGAACACGAACAACATTAAAGTTATTAATTTCTTAGCCGTTGTGCCAACTATGTTATATATATACCCATATACTAGACATTATGCGAGTGATAATTGCCCTAAGTAATTTATAAAACTTTCGCCAAAACGCGCGTCAATTAATATCTCGAGGTGATCGATTTGTGAAACATAGTGTAAAGATAGCTAACTGTGGAACAGACTGTAAACTCATAGTATATTGTCAATATTTTAAACACTAAAACTTCTAATTAATCATGTTAAAAATGTCTGTACACAAGTGATAATTATTTCCACGATTAATTTATGAATAAATCGAATGATAGATGTAACATTATTTCTAAAAAACCAATTTATATATGGAAATAATTAAATTACTATTCTCCCTCAAACTGTCACTAAAATCCTGGATCAATTCATCTTTTATTCAGTATATCAAGTTAAGTGATATGAAGTCCATTGCCTATAATATATTTGTGACAATTTTTGCATATATAAAATGTTTAAAATGAATGTTAAATGATATGAATATAAAGTATAAAAATATTTTAATATATACATGTATGCTCTAATTTTATCCATACCAAACGCATGCGCAGATCTCATGCAAGAATATCGACATGGCCGAAATCATTTCAACAAGTACATTTTTGTGTTTATTTTTTATATTTAAATTTAATTTAGATATGTCCTGCTAGGAAGTATGCACTGCAGTTAATTTATATGAAAGCTTTTAGTTGTTGATGTTTCGGTTTTCACTGGCCAAAAACTCTTCAGATACGTCATATCGTGTGTTTGTTTACATTCCCCACCACAAATACATGTTGCAAGAAACCACTTTTAATAAAACCACAGCTGTATATTCAAGAAAGCGCACTTTGATTAAAACAATGGCTTTCTCTTATGAATAAATCCTGAAATATTTAGTGAAAAAACTATTTCATAATTCTGTGATGTATTAGTCACTGTAAGAAGTGTTCTGTCTACGAGGAAATTGGCCTAATTTCGATGTTGATGAATTACGAAGAAATGTTCAACTCATATTTATCGAATTTTGTCAAATTGGAAATGAAATTGACATTGTTTGACCATTTCGCTGTTTGCATCGATTCTTTTTGAACTTTTGTAATATTAATTTTGTAGCTATTTTGTCTTCAATAAACTTTATTTTATTCTGCTGAACGATAAGAAATTGTTTCTGTGCACCTCTTTCGTGAGTATTATGAACGACACCGTATTGTTTTTCAAAAAGATTAAATCTCGACCGTCCTAATAGTATTCCTTCTTGATTCCAAAACAGTTTTGATACGTGCATGCTATATCCTTAGCATTTTAAGGTATCTATTTATATATTTGTGGCCATTTTTGCCATAGTCTGATTTGTTTACCCATTTATACCTACATTTCAGAATACAGTAAGACGTTTAGAAATTTTAGGATAATCAACGAGCTTGCTTATACGTATCATATCAACAATATTGTCATGAATTTTATCCATCCCTAATAAACCATATAACTTCCCATTAAACATGCAGAAAAAAACATTATCAGCCAGAATATACAGGATGATTTATATAATTTTATATATTGTTATTGAATTGATGATTTATATAGGATAGCAAAAATCAACACCTAGGCACATTTGTGCAATCTATGAGTCATTGCCATTGAGGGACAAACTAACAAGAAGTTTGGTAAAATTTGCACACACTTTTACATTTATGTATATTATAATTCAGATAAAGGTCAGAATAAAAGAATTACAAAACACTAAATTGGTCATGACAATTGCTTGAATTAAACATATTCTAATTTAGTAAAATAATACATGCTAAGGGTGAAATTTAATTGAATATACATAAATGGTAAAGGAATTTTTTAATTCTCCAAGCCAATTTTATTAAAAAGTGAAGAACAAATTCAGAAAAGCAAAATATTCAATAAAGGAATGATTATATGTTACCTAATTAGCAATTTTAAATGTCATAATAAGATATATGAACTTCTTCAACTGAATTGTCTTTGTAACATATGTGAAGATTTCCATGCTAATTAGAAAAATAAAACTTAAACGTTTCTCTGTAGGAAAATATTCTGCTTGGCTTTTGGATATTTTATTTATTTAGTCATAGGAAACATAATATCCAAGATTAAAAGTGCATTTGTAATAATGCACATTTAGAATGAAGTGAAGGTTTTTAGGGCATTGTGAAAGGAAAGAAGATTCTATGTTTCTTTAACAGACTTATGATCTTATTGTCTTTTGAGCACTTTTAAGTACTTTTAACATCAGTATGATCTCTAACATACTTTGTTGATGATACTAAAATTTTGCAAATGTAATATTTTAAATTTTGTATATGTAATATTTATAAATAATTTGTATGAATTTCATCTGACACTTACTAACTTAGTTGAAAGACTATGATAAAACTCTTGGACTAGTAGAATACACATCAGTTAAGGGTAATAACTTCAGAAGATACCATGATGCACCTTCATCCCCTTTCATTTGTTTTATTTCTTTCGTTAATGTCCTTTATGCCTCAGAAATGCTATCATTTTTCTCAAAAGCTTTTTACTTTTTGTATATCTTGTTAACCAGTTTTCTAAATTATACCTAATCCCACTGGAGACCTATCAATAAGAAGTTGAACTGAGATTTTTTGTCTATCCTCTTCCTTAAATGGCCATTGGTCAATAATATACTTAAATTAGTAATTGAAGTACATATAAGGTATGCCACTTCTCCTAAAACAATAGCAGTAATTTGGAATTTCTATGAAAGATTCTAAAGTACTTTACTTTACATGGATAACTGGTAATTCTAATAGATATATACTAAAGTGATAATATATTAACTAGATCAATTTGAATTTATTGAAAACTTGTTTTCTTTATCTTTTGTTTGGCACTACAAACGTTGTATATTCTATATCATTATTCTTAAATTGTATTCGAACTAACAAATAATAACTTATATTCATTAATACTCTTATAATGTCTCTGCTCCCCAAATACAATTGTTTTGTAAACTATATTTGATTAAATAATATTCATTATTAAACTCAGACTTCCATGTCTTTTTTAATCTAACGAAATGTCAAATATGTGTATCTTCATTGTTTGTTCTCAACGTTTATTCTACATTTAAAAATATACTGTATGACAATTATTCGTATTTCGTAATGTGAAAATTGAGCATAATGTATCTCATATCAATGATAATTTATTTTGAATATATTTCCTTTTGTGGAAAAAAACAACTATTTTTTGTGAAAAAAAAAATGTCAAATGTTCTTGACTGGATAAATATTTGAAATTTTCAGCAGGGAATCATCTTATGAAGCAAGCTTACATAATTAATACAGTGTACATGTTTTACTTTGAACAGTGTAAAAATGTTTGAATAAATGATAATTATTAAGTTTGAATTTATCTTTAATTGCGTAAAGAAACAATCTTTCAATTCATTTTTCCAGGAGTTGTCCCCTCCAACATTAACAGTCCACGTGAGTACATTTGTTTCTACTTTGTACTGCTTTTCATTTACAAGTAGGTTCTTATGCCAGAACTTAAGAATTCCTTTTATCCGAAGGGTAATTTAAAAAAAAATATTGTGCTACAAATAGAAAACATGTCGATCCTGTGTTACACTCAAGAACATATAAAATTATCATTGTATAATAATGGCAATAAATGTATCTACTCGTATTATATAATCATCATTTATATCTTCTATTTGACCTAGATGTGATGTGTCGATCGGAGGATATTCCTTTGCTTGTTCATTCCTCAATAAACGGGCAATTAGACGGAATGGTGTTTCTTAAACCAGCTAAGGACTCCATTGTTGTATCAGGTATAAACTTATATCGTCATTTGTATCTAACAAACATAATATAGGTTCTATCAGTTTAAAACAAAAAGCATTTTCGTAAATAAATAATAATAAAAAAACAAGAACGTGTTCGTTAAACACAAATGCCACCCCCCCGGCTCAGATTCTTGTCAGTAGCAATAGTTCAAAAAATGTTTGCCCATTCACTCAGTTATGGACAGAAAAAGTGCCAAAAAAATTGTAAACACAAGTTATATAGCTTGACAAAGTCATGGCATTTTGTAATTGTGAAAAATATAAGTTGCCAAGTCATTGCTCTGACTTGTGCAGTTGAAAAATATTCAACTTCATGCAAGTTATCTTCCTACCAAATATGAAATACATCTGTCATTAAATAAAGGCTGTATGGGCAAAAGTGTAAAAATCTATTTTGAGCACTGGTGACCTTGACCAAACTGACCCGTAACTCTATCCAAAAAAAGAATACCATGTAAGTTATCCTCCTACCAAATATGAAATACATCTGTCAATAAATAAAGGCTGTATGAGCAAAAGTGTAAAAATCTATTTTAGCACTGGTGACCTTGACCCAACTGACCCCTTACTCCATCCAATGGAAGAATACCATGCAAGTTATCTTCCTACAAAATATGAAAAACATCTGTCAATAAATAAAAGCTGTATGGGCAAAAGTGTAAAAATCTATTTTTAGCACAAGTGACCTTGACCAACTGATCCCTACCCCAATCAAAAGGATGAATACCATGCAAAGTATCTTCTTACCAAATATAAAATATATCTGTCACTTAATAAAGGCTGTATGAGCAAATGTGTAAAAATCTATTTTTAGCACTGGTGACCTTGACCCAACTGACCACTAACTCCATCAAAGTTTATGTTTCTATCAATTATAAATAACATCTGTCTATAGAATAAGGTCAATACACCTGTAAAAATGTAAAAATCTATATTTAACACTGGTGACCTTGACATTGGTAACATTGACCTTGACCAAAATGACCCCTTACTACATCCAAAGAAGGAGGAGCTCACTTGGCATGTTTGTATTAAACTAAGACATCAACTGAATGAGCAAAAATGTTTATATTTATTTTTTAAAACCAGTGATCTTGACCTTGACCCTAGAGACCGCTTACTCCACAAAAAATTAGAGGACCTTCAAAGGTATCCACCTACTAAATATGAAAGATATCATTAAAGAAATTAAGCAATTAGGAGAAATTTAAGATAAATCCAACTCCAATCATATTATGACAGCAGGTGTCGCTTTGTCGGTACATCCCGTTATTTTCCGGATGATCCCGTATTTTGGCACGTGGAGTAAACAAAGTTACGTCCACTTTATATAGGGGCGTATACAGAACAGTGTTAGTTGGGGACTGACATGCAAATTTACTAAAAAACAAGAGAACACGATGCGACAGACGAAAGGTGCGTGTTTTTGAAGATTCCGCCAGCATGTGGAAAAAAAGTTATATATGTCTCTAATAACTCATCCTACAAGTGGCAACTCACCTCTTATACAATTGTTTACACTTCTTTTTGAGCGTGTGTGATAAGTGAAATTGTATTTTATCAAACTTAAGGTGGCACGAAGGTGACATGTGTGTGTTTCTATCAATCATAAATAACATCTGTCTACAGAATAAGGTCAATACACCTGTAAAAATGTAAAAATCTATATTTAACACTGGTGACATTGACATTGGTAACATTGACCTTGACCAAAATGACCCCTTACTACATCCAAAGAAGGAGGAGCTCACTTGGCATGTTTGTATTAAACTAAGACATCAACTAAAAAATAAAGGCTGAATGAGCAAAAATGTTTATATTTATTTTTTAAACCAGTGACTTTGACCTTGACCCTAGAGACCGCTTACTCCACAAAAAATTAGAGGACCTTCAAAGGTATCCACCTACTAAATATTAAGAAAAATCCAACTTGTCGTTCTAGGTTAACCTCGTACGGACAGACGGACGGACAGACGGACGGACGTTCTCACAGGACAGTAATTATATGGCTATTCTATTGTTCTTTTTAGCCACACAAAAGAAAATAGCCACATAAAAGCATTACGGAATGAATGACATCAAAGAGAAAGAACAGTTACCTATTGTCCCTCTAGCCACATAATTACTCTCCTGTGAGTGCGGACGGACAGACGGACGGACGGACGGTTCAATTACTATATGCCCGAGGCATAATAAATGAATAAAAATATTTTGACTTCCGAGGTATTTTAGAGTCGTAAAAAAAGAACAATCAGTTTCCTTTTATAACAGCACACAACACCCGTAGTATAAGCATGTAAAAAGTGTATAATGTGTAAAACGATTTAAATGTTACTTTATGTCAGTTTGGTGTCAGGTTTGAGTATTTAAATCACATTAAGTTTTATATACCAGCGATAAAGCATTCAAAACAAACTAAAAATTACTGACTAATGAGTTAATACATAACTGTTACTGTTGCCAAATGACATTTTCTAGACTTTGACAATTTGAATATATTTTGATATAAAAACTGAAATTAAATTATATTAGTATTGATAATAGGGTAGATCTAATATGATAAATATTATCTTTCGAGAAAGAGTGATATATTTCATTGAATGGAAAACACGATTGTTTTGGTAGAACACATTTTATTTGTATGTCATTATAGCTTCAGATGACGTTAAAAACGAAGAATTCATGAATATTTATTTTCAGGACAGACCTATAATGAAAAGATGAAAAAGTGTGAAGTGAGTTATGGAGGGAGTGTTCTTCATTATCAAACAAGATTCAGAAAATAAAGTGAGCTTTTAGTGTGGTGTTTATCTATTAACGTCTAGTTTATATCATTCTTATGCATCAATTTTATTAAATTGTTTTGTTTTTCTTTTCTATAAAAAGAAATATAAAAGTATAAAATAGCATTATCAACATGTCAGTGTTTGTTGATACCTTCCTGAAACCATCTATTCAGTTATAATAAGAATCAATTCAGTTCACTTTAATAGAAATTGAACTACGCATGAGTCATAAAATATGTTTTTATTTCAGGTGTCTGTTTGTGAGGAAGAATAGTACGGAATGAATTGAGACAAATGAAATTGAGCAACATAAAAATGTGAACTATTTATAATTACTTCTATTGGATCCGAATAACATTTATCTAAGGATTTTGGATAAAATTTTATATATCTATGGGAAAATGAGTAAAATAATTATGACATATTGAAACATTCATCGTGACTTACATCAATCAATAGTTACAATAATAATAAAGTTTACTAAACCAATCAATATTTATGATTAAAAAAATTTGTATTACCTCTTCCAAATTCAAAAAGGACAGTGTTCAAATAATGGCAAATATTTATGTTTTTTAATTTTTCTTTTATGTATAATTGATTGTTTTAATTTTTTGTTAAAACTACCTCGAAAACAAATTACCTCAATCTATTAAATATAGGAAAATGAATTAAGACATATTTTCATGTCATATTTTTTCAGCATTTACTTAAATCTAAAACTAGATTTACATGAATATATATCCCGATCTGCATTTCATCTGAATGGTATTTGAATGATTAAATCTCTTCAAGACTACAAGACATTTTTATATTTTTCACAATGTGTAATTTAAATCATTTTCTTGATGCTTTGTTTATTAGCTTGTTGTGAACGACAACAGTTCCGTGAAACGAAGCAGCATCAAAAAGAAAAACATGGTCTACTTCAACGCTGTAAACTTCATTATAATGATGTAAGCAGCTTGATGAAGTTTGCAATAATTGTTTCATATTTTAGAATTACTATTCCTGTACATGTAAACAATGAAGTAACATTTTATTTGTCTGTCAATACAATGTTTTGAATCTCAACAAACTAACAACAAGACAGAAAGAAAATAAAGAAGAAATGTTGAATACAGCATAACGATAGACATAAGCTCAAAAAAAACGAGAAAACAAATGAAACCAACTTTTAAATAAATGCTAATTTTCTCTACAACCTATTTTCGTTCAAAAATAAGAACATAGTATTTTTACTTAAACTTTTATTTCATACCAGAATTTTACAAAAATGTGATGTGAATACTAATTAACTCTTTGATCAAAGCTTATCTAAATGTTAAAACTGTGTTGCGAGAAATGTATATGTAAAATGGCATGACCTACGTTTTGCACTATATAATTTTCCTAAGAATATTGATATTTTTTTCTATTTTTTTTTGTTTGAATATGAACGTTCAATTTGTATGTTTGTTATCATGTGTAATGGATATGCCAAAATACAGATACCATTTTATCAATTGTGATATAACTACGATTTTGTAATATGCATAAATAAAATTAAAGATTTATATTTGTCATTTTTTTTATATTCTAAGATAGATAATAAATGAATGTCTGTATATTACCAAGAAATGGGATATAGAAATAATTCGTTTAAAATTATTTGTCAGACATGTATTCGAAAAAGAAATTAACCATTTTAAATTGTTTATGAATGTGCTCTCTTCGAACTATTTATTTCCTAACAATGACACAGATTTGCATAATTTAACAACAACTCAGCTAAAATGTTTAAGAAGCATATATCCTTTGTAACAGAAATCAACAAAAAATATTATGTGAAGTATTTTCCTTTTCTTGTGCTTTTTCTCTTTTGTTTCAAATGTAAACCTGAACCAATACTAGCTGATAAATCTAAGTATTTTGTACTGGGAATATAAGTTACCCCCGTCCAACTATGTAAAAAACTACACTGAAATATAACAGGTGCAAGAAAACCCCTCAAATGTTTAATATCAGTTGAGTTTTGTTCTATATGTTTCAATTAAAAAATTAAATCAATTTATATCAATACAGTTTCCAAATCCACATTGAAAAGTTACTGAGTGAGAACAAAGAAAAAATACTAACCATGTCATAGCTGGTTAGGTGCTATTCATATACTGGTATCCAAGTCGTTATTTCTTATAATATACATGTTTAATGGGATGGTGGCCCGATAGAAGGTTTTGTTAGCTATTTCCTGTGTGTTTTACTTTTAATTTCTTTTGACGGAAAGAATAATAAATTGCTGTCATTTTACATAGAAAAACATTATACTCAAGGTTGCTATAGACAAGAATCAACATTCTGAATAAATAAAAACTTTGATTTTAAAACAACATATTTATGATATTTATACATACTTCGTTGGATTGTATAGACAAAATCAAACTTTATATTAAAATGAAATGGGCAATATTTGATTGAAATATTCATACTTTCTCTTATCGGGATTCATCTCCCCTTTGAAAAAATTAATTTTACTCGTTGTAAGGTTATATTTTCATGCAGCTTGTCTCTTGCGTTTTTTACGGTTTTATATAACACGGGTCGCGACAAAGTTTACGCCAGGATGCAGAATTTAAAGTGAAGTTGTTTCACAGTCAAGCTTCTATACAGATTGTTAACTACCTATAGGGCTCAAACTAAACGTACGTTTGCTGAAGTAAAACAGTATTGTAAAAGTATGAGAAATACTCATTTTCCATGTACATACACTTTTCTTTGCTGTTTTGTTTCCAACTGGTAAATATAGCGATCTAGTATTTTGTGTGGAAAACAAATTAACTTTCTTTACATTTAGCTACTTTTAGGGCATATGACTGCATGTTTAGTGCTACTTCCTAAGTTGTTATTAAGCATCTAAAATGCTCTTTATCCATTATCAAAACATTATCAAACACATGGTCGAAATTTCTAAAGAATTAGAAAAAATATGTTTTTAGGCTTAAACAGATATATTTGCATGGACATAACTCACATACTGAAAATATTCTAGATATCTTTCTTAGAAAAAAGTGTTGCTTTTAAAAGAGCTGATTTAAACTGCCAAACAGTTTCTTATTAACATGTTGTTACAATTCATTTACAAATATATTAACTGTTACTGAGATTTAGTAACAAAACAAGTAAAATAAGATGATAAAATTTTAATTGAAATGTATTTGTCTGTATTGTAAATATTTAAATTCAACAATAGTATATAAATAACACATGGGTTTGTGAGTAACAGTAAAAATATCACCCCGAGGAAAATACTGTTACCCGAGGCGTAGCCGAGGGTAACAGTATTTTTACGAGGGATGATATTACCCCGAACAAATACTGTGATGATCTGAATTTGTCAACTAAATCTAACTGTAACAAAAATAAGCCAAGAGAAGCAGTAACTAAACTGTCCTTACCTTGCACGTTTTAAGTGCACTGTAGGCCTACTTGAGAAGCTGTTTTTTCTTTTATTCTTTAGGCAAGTGACAAAATTATTTACATTACAATTACTTCCATTGAAAACGGATGTTTCCTGTTGACTATTCAACAAAAAGATATTTAATACGCGAAAGGGACTCTAGGGTGCAAAGAACTAAATTTTATCAGAGTAATAGTTACTTCGGCGATGCCCTATCGTCGAAAATAAGAATGAATCGAGAAAAAAATGGCGGCCATTTTATTTCATTTTATTTAGAAAATAGACCACGTGACCAGATTTTATACTGTTAAAAAATACTGTTATCTATGTAACAGTACAAAATTCGTAGTCACGCGGTACACTTGCATTAACAGTAAGAATAACTCCCAGAGGCCTATGGGAAATTAACATAACGAAAAAAGTGAGGGGTAATAATATTAAATATGTTGTTGGTTCGTAAATTCTGCATAGAAAACTCAATTTAGATACATGTAAGCAATGCCTACAGGTCCGCCAGTCAGACATTCTAAATGCGTTTGTTTATTTGTCTTTAAGTATATTCTTTTACAATTATGATTTTTATATTTTGAGAGTGACTATGCATAAGAATTAGATGTTACACGAGTATGGGAAAGTGATCTGTTATGTAGAGTCTTCGTCCAAATTTTTATCATTTGTTTGTGCTTTATTTCTTGTATTTGGTTTTGTTTTTGTAAAACTATATTGTTTTTAGTTCGTGTTTGTAATATCTGTTCTAAATACTATGAATAGTTCATTACTTTTATGTCTAGTTATTTTTGCCAAATAATGTGTGTCTATAAACACTATTATCTTTTTTTTTATTATAACACCTATGATATATAACCTTAAACCTTGAGTAACTTAAAATACAAAGCAGGTTACATCGTATATTAAAGAAGAGATGATGTTCAATAAATAAATAAATAGTTTGATTGATTAATTAATTGATTGATTGATCTGTTGGATGATTGAAGTCGTCAAAAACAAAACAACAACAAAAAACCCAAAAAACAATCAAATTAATTGATATTTGTATCTTTTGAGAATAGCAAGAAAATGAATTTCGTTTCATGACCTAACTTCAACCTCTTTAAAAAATATCTGGTCAAATAGAAGGTAATGTTTTCAAAAATAACATAAAAGAAAACAATAAAAACGTAAAGAGGAGTGTTTTTTTAAACTTTTGTTCATAAAGTCTCTTAAAGTAAGTTGTAAATGCCTAAATTACTGTAGTAATTTGTAACTTTCTTTTCAAGTCAATTTTATAATTATAATAAAAAAACAACGTATAAAATATTATTATTATTTTCTTTATGTTTCTTTTTTTTAGTAATTTGATACGAGGGTTGTTCAAATATAAATGCAACTACCCCAGTATTTCGCTTTTAACCACGTTTTGCACGATTATGTACATGTATCGCAAATATGGTTGTGTAAGCTCTCAATTGATACATGTGTAAATCAGTTCAGTCTAGCTTTAAGATTAGTTGGAGTAACGCTATCTACTCATGTATACTAACACTATACTAGCATGACCAGACGGGGTACTTTATTTGATGAGCAAAACAAGTAAACGAGCTTAAGACAGAGCAATATTTTACACACAATTGATAACAATGGAAAGAACATGTAATCTAAGTACGTTGTTATTATTATAGCAGTTGTTCTTGTCTTGCAAAATATTCATTACATGATAATAGTACACGCCTTTGCCTGCGAATGAATTGTTAAAATATATATAACCATGAAATGCTTTAATACAACAAATTTAGTCAGAAACGCCAACGCGATCTAACTCGGCCAGGAAAACTCAGAGATAAAAACATTTTTAATGAAAATTCATTGAGAACCTGTGTCCGTTTGCCAACTGTTGGATCGCTAAATGCTGGACCTCATTTTATCTAGCGTTTGACGTATTCTATTATAAACAGCATATATATTCTCAATACATCAGTGAAATCTTAAAAACAAAACCTTATTCAATATGAAATTGGATATGTTAACTGCTAGAAAACGTCTGGTAGAATGACCAGTACACATTATACATTAACCATTCATTGCGACTTATGCACGAGAAAAACATGACAAATCACTGTAAAAAAGCGTTACGCAAAGACAAACATTTTACGCTATACCGGTACTATCAAAACGCGTTAAATTTCAAGTCTTTCCTTAACTAAAATAACAACAAACATTATACTAGCATGACCAGACGGGGTACGTAGAAAACTAACAAAAGAACGGGCTGGAAGTCGCAAACAGCACTTATTATAGACTTAGCTGTTTCGTGACTGCAAATCTTCTGTCTAGTAAATAGGCAACATAGCCATCTTTGCTTTTATCGCATTTCCAACGACTGTGACGTTTCCATCAACGATCACTGACAGAAGCATTTGCAGTAACCGTAGCACCACCGCTTCTTAAAGAATGTAACCCAAAATCAACATCGCCTGCAATTTCACGTTTACTAATATATGGAATTGAGTAAACTCTTAATGAACGAATTACCGTTCATCAACCCAGTAGACTTTACTTTTTAAATGATATTTGTCTGGACCGTGCAATATAATTGAATAATTAACTTGCTAGTTATATTTATCTATTTTATCTATTAGAAATTTTATGTAATAAAATGTAATATATCTGTTATTTGTGTCTTGTTTTCATTGTCAGTCAAATCTCATAGAATTTATCATCTAAGGAGTTAAATAACAAACATACAATATGATAATCAAGATAGCATTCAATGTGAGGTCGCTAATGTTTTCGTTTATTCGCAGCTATCTATACAATATACTAGTATTACTTTAAACACATCATGAACAGGAACTTTTTTTTCTTATTTTGCAAACAGCAGTAAAATATATAATTTGGATTTATTAATCTTTAGTAGAACAACAGTAATTATTCAGATAATAAAATTTTGAACAGAATATAGAATACTTTAACTGATATGATGTTCATTCTGAAGAAATGAAAGTATATAATAGCATTATTGTTATGTCATAATTATCATATTTTATAGTTATATCTGGATGTAGTTGGAGCAAAGTAATATATTTTACATTTAATATCAAATTATTTGTTCTTACATACTTA